AAAAGTAAATACAGTGTTAATTTTCACACGACAGGATTATTAGCTTTAAATTTTGGCTTAGTTATAGATCTCCCTTGCACTTAGCAAATATACAACAGAAATTTTCACTATGTTGCCATTGTTTTAGAAGAAAATTTCATGTAACTATATGTACTGACTCATTGTTTTTTGTAGATTGAAATGAATGGAAAGGAGACTACTACTCTTTATAAGTTCTTGAAATCAAAGAAATGAGACTACTACTCATTGTTCTATCTGGATGTTTAGCGGTTTTCTTTGATGTTGTTTCAGATTCTATTTTTTCTTGTGAGGTGCCATCTGATTTGAGCTAGCTATTTTTTTTCCATTTCAGCTATTTAAAGCATGGTGCTTATACGTGTTCATGCTCTTTTTTGTATCAAGGGAAATAAATTAATACCTCAACTTTTCATTCATGTCTGTTGAATTGTTATTCTAGATGATCCATCAAGCTTCACGCACGTTCAAAGTTGATAACTGTCACTTCTTGCAATCGCTTTTTTTGTTTCCAGCTCACTTACCCAGACATCCCTACAAGATTAAGAGCATGTGCTCGATATCTCAGTTTCTGCCCTTGCGTGTTCATGATAAAAGATATTTTCTCGGTCGGTGATCAACTGTTTGCGGTTTATAAGTTTTGTTTTTGCATGTAACATGTGCCTTATCTTCCCAGTGAACTTGTGACTTGGCATATTCTTTCATGCTTCTCTTTTCTTTCCTTTACCCAGTGAACTAATGTGATGTTGAATATTAGTTATTTGCAGCTAAGATCAACTAACTTTTTCTTGATTGTGTCGTCACTTTTATCACATGCACCATATATATGGTTGATTAGGTTCCTTCTCTATGGACAATATTCTAATTAGTCCTGTGAGATAATGTTTAATTGGCATTCATCTTGTGTATTGTGTATAAGTTCAATGCATAATTATGAAAACATTATTAATTTTGACTCTTGTAGTTTCTTAATATGTATCACGTGCAATGTATGTATCCATATGTTTGATACATGGTTTAAATTAAATAAATCTTAATGAAATGAATCAATAACAAAAGAATAAATTAAAAAATTTACCACATGCATTGCACGTGCAATCCAACTAGTCAAACTGAACATCTCACTATTTAATAATAAAGTCTTATTAACCCCAAACAATAACCGATCCAAACATGGCCTCAGAACCTAATTAACATTTACTTTTTATTTGTTATTAACCTTATGTGATTTAATATGTAAGACTTATTATTTATTAAATCATATGTGTTATTATATTGTATTATTAACCTTATGTGATTTAATATGTAAGACTTATTATTTATTAAATCATATGTGTTATTATATTGTAAATATTATTACTAAGTTAAAAATAACTATTTTTACCAAGTACTGTGTATTATGTTAATATTTTTGGATTAATATAAGAGTTAATTAATTAAAATATTCTATCAAATGACTTATAATTAAGTTAGAATATATTGTTTTAATAAAATATCAAATTCCCCTCTACTTTTTAAAAAGTACATCTCAAATTTAATATTTGTTATAGTTAATCTTGATGCCAAAATTAGAGAGCATGTCGTTCTTGATATCAACTGCACAAAGATCTGGCCTAACCTTCAAAACAGCTTGTATTTGGCTAGCAATGAACTTCCTTGATGCCCTTGAGTTGCCAGCATTTGCTCCATGTTGACCGTAGGTGTGGGTAGATTCAAAATTCTTTATGGACATGATAGACGAATTTCTGAGCGGGGAAGCAAACAACATCCAAGGGCAACCATGTGTGTGCTTGAATCGGCAATAGACTCTTATGCGCCTTTGTTCACTGTGATAAAAATCATACTCGAACCGTTTATCAATTGAATAGTATTAAAGTGCTAATCTAACTTCAGCAGCACTATCAAATTTCTGACCAACTTCACGTATGGAGGTGTGTCACTCAGTCGGGATCTTTGTTTGGTGGCTAAGCATGTCATCCAGTAGCATGATCGAGTCGCCGGTGGGGTTGTCATTAGGAATACGCTCATCATTATAGGTTTGGGTGAATGTGGTATCTGCGCATTTTAAATTTTCTGTCGATATTATCCTGAAGTAGTAATAAAAATACATAGCCTTAGCAACGAACTGATAACCTTAACAACGAACTCATAAACATAACAGCCAACACATATCCTTAACAACTAACAATTTTACTTAAGGACAGACTCGTGACCTTAACAACAAATGCATATACTTAACATCAAACACCATATCATAGTAACCAACTAGTATACATAACAGCGAACAAATAACCTTAACAACCGGTCCTTAACATAACCTTGACAACCAACTCATTAGCTAAGCAACCAATGCATAAGGTTAACAACTAATGGCAAAACCTATCAGTGAACTCAAAAGGAAATCTGGAGTGTAATTCCTACGTAGTTTCCGGCATAGTCTGCGTGTTCTGCGAAGTTGAGTATTCCCCAGCGGAGGTAGCATACAAATTCACGTCTGTAAATCCATTACGCCGACAATACTCAAACATCAAATTTAAGTCATCGTCATTGTCAATTAAAATACTGAATTTTTTCCCCTTTCGCATATGAACTTCAGTGAAAGAGATTGCATTGGTATTTTAAGCCTTTCCGACAGTTGATATTTCAAGCTGATTATTTTTGTATTCTCTTTGATAACGACGAATACACCGTCACCACCTTTCTTGCTTTTTGCCTTCGTTACCACACATAGAAGAGATCCATCCGCCATTTTATTACAGGGAGTAGTTGAAAAATCGAAAAGGCTTTTGTTGAGGAGAATTAAGTGGAAGGAACAAATTAGTTAGGGTAATAGAATGGGGAGGAACTCAGCGATTTTATTACGACTGGAAGGGGAATATATCTTGTGATAATTTTGGAGGGAAATGGGAATTTCCCCCCCTAAAAAGGCATTCTAATCACCATTTAATGCCTACAGTCGAAACGTCATGTTTCCGACGTGAGAGGGCGACGAACACAGGCTGCGAAGGGTATTTTGGGCATTTTAAGAGGGGTTTAAACGGAGTTACGCCTAGGGATTTGTTTTGGGGGCTGGAAGAAAATCGCGGGTGATTTTGGGGGCAAAGTATCCGTTGAAAAAGTCTTGGGGGAGCACGTTTTCTTGTGTTTTGGGCGCTGAAAGCATTTTTTCCCTTTTAAGTTTAGTTGTGTACTCTATGTGTTTATACTTATAGCTCAAATTCATGCACGTACACATTTTTGAGAAAATGTTATGTTTTTGGATTATTGACTTAACGCTAATATTTTATATCTTTTCTAAAGTCTATTAATCCATTTAAAAGTATCTCAAAACTTATTTGAAGAAATTTCATCAAAATCAAGTGTTTAACAAACACGTATTTTGAACATATTATAAAATAGTAAGTTTTCACAAATGAGAAATGATATTTTAAAAATTTCTTCTCTAACATGTTTATTTTTATGTGTATAAGTATTTCCCCAAGTTTTACTATTTTTAGAGTTGATTTAATATTTTTAATTGATTTTAGAAAACCAGGTTTTCAGCACAAATATGTGTTGTGCACATTATCAGTCGACCGACCCATGTCCACCGGTCGACTGACCAGTGTGATTTTTCCAGCGTCTGCTTTTGTAGACGAATCAATGACCGACCATGACTCATCGGTCAACTAATCACCTCTTATTAGTCAACCATTTTTTCTTATCAGTCAACCGATGATTGTTCCGTTACAACATTAGTTTACCGATTTTCTTCACCAGTCGATTGATCAGTGTTTTTTCTGCATAACAACTAGTTTTGGCTGGTTTGTTTGAGAGGCTATAAATAGCCCTCAACATTTGATTTTGAAAAAGAGTTTTGACAAGAGTACTTTAAAGAGAGTTTACACCAGTTTATTTCCAAGTTTTGGTGTATTTGTTTATGTGAAGAAAGTTTCACAAAGAGAAGATCTTAATTTCGGTTTTGAGGCGTTCAACCTAAAATATTCATCTACATCTCTTTGTTTTCTTTGGAGAAGTTTTCTAAACTCATTCTCTAGCTTAATCTTCATTTTGTTTTGTATATATACATACAAGCTAGATTTACTTAAGTTTAAATTTTATTTACTCATTCTTTTTCACACACAACCATTTGAGCTTAAGTATTTCACATATTGTATATTTGGGTTGTGAGAGTGTTACAATTGAGTGAGCTTTTTTTTGTGTTCTCATTTGTATTAGAGAACAAAATCATTTACTTGAGCTTATCGGTAAACACGTTGTAATACATAAGGACACTTAGGGAAGTAGTTGGTGAGAGACCAGGTTCAATTCCAAGAGGAGTGACTTGGTTGTAAAAGCCTAGGGAGAAGTAGTAATTCCAAGCACTTGAGGAAGGTGATATTGTGGGATTGACAACGTGTGGATCGAAATTTTTCGGTGAACTTTAAAAACCGATTGTTTAGTATTTTGTGAAGAGATAGTTGAGATTCTCCTCAAGGTGAGGAGCGGAGACGTAGGTCGAGTGTTAGACCAAACTCCGTGATCATATCACCGTGTTTGCGATTGTTTTGGCGTACTACTTGATTTTATATCTTGTGCATGTTTTGTGTTGGCAAATTATTGTGGGTTAACTCAAAGCGCATTATGGTTTATTTATTTTTCCAACGGACATGAAGCGATCAATGCATCCTCAATTCTCTCCAGGAATATAGCTATACAAATGTCCATATAATCATATAACATTGTCAGTTCTCACCAGGAATATAGCTATACAAATGTCAATATAATTATAACATATTAAACAATACTTGAACTCGTAAAGAAAAGGCAAGTATGTCCAACTTCTTTCCTACCAGCATAAACAAAAAAAAATTTGTAGAGATATTCTATAGCATTTCCTCTGCTCCCCTCTGTTTTTTGTACTTCACATTCAAAAAAAAATTTGTAGAGATATTCTATAGCATTTCCTCTGCTCCCCTCTGTTTTTTGTACTTCACATTCTAAAGGAAGTAACAATTTATCTGTTATTAACAAGATGGAACACCACAGACCAAACAAACAGAATAACAACCAACTGAATCTCCTATTACAGAATCGACTTGCCGACATACAAGGGTTTAACATGCAATCCACCCAAAGCCCTAATTTAAAACATGACATATACAACGATAGCATATAACCTTGCCTTTGCTATTTCCATAAGCCAAGCCAAACTAACACACTAGAATAAACTGACTAAACACACTCACAACAATTGACTAAAAGAAACCATTATCTTTGAATCCTCCCTTATTATTCTTCACAGTCCTCTCCTCCTTTGTCTCCTCTCCATCCTGACTTCATGGCTCAGTAAACTTGTCAGTGTCCTACATGCATTATTTAACATCAATTAGCCCACATCACAATATAAACAAAGAAAACATTAACAACTTCTGTATTAAAAGAAACATGTCATATAATTGGATAACTACCAGTTATATTTCATTAATCAACAGTTTCAGGAGGGGGAAAAACCCTTTTTGTACTCTCTTTGTAATCCTATGTACAGATAGTTAGATATCGTAGATGTTATCAATCAACAAGTAAGCTCTAAAGGTAATAGCCTAAGGCAATTAGCTTTGGGGCTGCATATTAGCTCAAGTCAAGGATCAAACCCAACTCAATATCAGCAAAGGTCAAATTAGTCAAATTAGTTATTAATTAAGTAACCAAATTATAGAAGTTCAAAAGTATCTCATTTGCTTGTACAGGGCTCTATGCCAGAAAGCCACTCATCACCCGCTTAGCAAAAATTTTATTGTTCTGCGCATTAAAGAGAAGAAATGAGCTTGTCTTCTCATTTTCTTATAGCCATCAGTGGTCAATCACTCTTTTCTTGATTTCTAAACTACCAAAAATTTTATCATTCTAGTGTTTTGGTTAAAGAGAGGCCATTTGGTCCTCCTCTCAAAACTGAAAATGGTAAGCAATTCATGAGAAACTAAAATGAGAAAAACCAAAACTTAAAGAGCATTGAAACTATTCCAAATATATTCTTGATGAATGGATGCAATCTCATATACCATCTTTGAAGGGGAAAAAAATCCCTAATTTTTAAAAAAATACAGAATTTACCTCAAGACTATAGAATGAGGCTGGAAAAGACTGAGATATGTGTGAATGTGTTCTCAGATTATCAACACCAGAGGTCAAATATGAGGAGCTTTCTCCTAGAATCTTCATAATATGTTTCATCTACTTAACAACTAAAAAAATGTCCAAAAGTCTATCTTGTCCTCTTGAGATCAAAGGAATAGTCATCCTTGCAAGAGTGATACTATTCACATACGATTTAGCAAAGTTTAATTGTATACCCAACTACGATAGCATTAGTCATCACAAATAGAAGATAGAGGATTATAATTGATAGTATTCAAGGCTTTACTTTTTAAACTTCCAAGGCTCAAGCTTGTAGAGTTGTTATGTATGTCTGAGATGCTTTTTCTACTAGTCTGAGAGATGAAAATTCTTACAAAGAAATAGATAATTATCACATCTTGAAATATAAGAAGCCTCGTGTCATCCACAAGCATGAACAACTGTAACATACACATATGGAATATCTCTATACTTATCTTTATACTTATCTTTATATATGTTCTTTCTGCATCATGTCTGGAATTGTAAAACTTTCATTACTTTCTCTAACATTTTGTATAGCCTAATTCAAACATTTATGTCGTCTAAAGTCAATCAAAACAAGCACGCATTCTGCTAACAAAAACCATAAATAAGATTTTATACATTTGGAGATATGTATTTTATTGTGATGCATTGGATCTCAAGGATGAACATCAAATTTGCTACTTGTTGATTCCTGGGTATATAAAATGTTAGAGAATAAATTCTGATTACTGGCTCATATTTGAGAATGAATTCTGATACTCATGGGGCATTGTCTTAAAATATCATTCTATTATGGCCACATTTATTGCACAGAAAATATTGAGCATGTATGGAGCAATTTTAAGAATAAAATTTTGTGGGCTCTTTAGATATTAGTCCCTTAAACTATCAGTATTTTGATATTAGTCCCTCAAATCGTCATATTTTCATATTAGTCCTCCAAATTGCATTAACATGATGATATTTGTCCCTCTAATTAGTCGGGGGTTATAATGGTTGGGGAACATTCCATTATGTTTAATTTATGATGATATTTGTCCCTCTAATTAGTCGGGGGTTATAATGGTTGGGGAACATTCCATTATGTTTAATTTTTTTCTTGAATGGACCATTATAATAGTCGGGGGTTATAATGGTTGGGGAACATTCCATTATGTTTAATTTTTTTCTTGAATGGACCATTATAACCTCGTCCTGAAACCAAAATAAAAAAAGGATATGCTTATCGGCTGATATGTACATGGCAGGTGATCTATTAAAAAAATTATTAGGTCTCCAATGCGTTTCAACAAGAAAATAAAAAATGATATGGTTAATGTTGTGAGGACTTTGACTTTTAAT